CCCCCCCTCCCACCCTGCCCCATCCCTGCCAGCCCAGAGCTGAGTCCTCCTAAGACAGGGGCTTCCCTACCTCGGAAAGTCACTTTGGCGATCCGGTCGCCCTTGCCCCGCAGCTCCGAGACCGTCTTGAGGTGGACGAGCAGGGCCATGCTGGTGTGGAGAGCCCGGGCACTGCCAGGCGGGAGCAGCTGGGAAGGAGCGAGCCCAGGAGCGTGGCTCACACGCCTCCCTCCTCTCTGCCGCCGCCTCCTCCCTCCGTGCCCCCTCCGATGCTGCCCACAGAGACCCAGGCAACAGAGCAGAGCGGCTCCTTCCCGAGGCTCCACTCACAGAGAGCTCCCGCCCCTCCAAGTTGTCAGCCCAGCGTGCATCTGTGTGTGTGTGTGTGTGTGTGTGTGTGTTGTGCACCCAGCGTGCAGCCTGAGAATGCAGACAGAGTTGGAATTCATTATTCAGCAGCCGCTGGCTCCCAGATAAAGCCCTGTCCAGCTCCAGGTGTCTTCTCCTAGTTCCTGGGGCACAGCTGCCTGCCCACGCCTCAGTGGGGCTCTGCCTTACCCTGTTAGGCGAGCTCTTCTGCCACCAGGAGTGGGCAGATGGGGGTGGGCATGAATGTGAAAGGGTGGGCATGTGGCTGGGGGGCCCCTTCCCACGGGGAAGAAGGAACTTCATGATCTGTGTGCACAGGAAGCTGGGATGTCGCATTGGTGTTTCAGGGTGATCCATGCCATCCACCCCACACACAGTCAAGTTGGCCACCAGGGTCACTGGTGCCCACGAGGCTCAGGGGGCCTAATGGGCCAGGCCTGGCTGCTCTGAGTGGGTCATATTATGCCACGTGGAAATTCTAACCCAGGGCTCCTCAGCCAGAAAAATCAGTATCTACCAGACAACATCCAACTTGTGCTTGGTGGCTGGTCCCCTGGAAATGGGAGCGCTAAGAGAAGAAGAAAATGGACTTCCTCACCTGTCCTCACAGAGACGGTGCCCCCACGAGGCTGGGTCCTGACCACCTGGCCCGGGGATCACTGGGTCTGAAAGGATGGAGGAGCCTTTGGAGCCAGGCTATGCAGGACTACAGATGCGCGGCTATGGAGGCTTCAGAAGCTCATGCTCTACTAAGGGCAATGCTTATGGTCCAGGGCAATGACCGAGCCCCATCCTCGGGGCCTGGGGATAAAGAGGCCTGGGGTGGGGAGTGAGATGGGCTGGAGAGGATGCTGGGGGGGATTTCTAAGGGCCAAAGGAGAACTGCCCCTCCTTTCTCCCAGCAGCAACCTGAGGAGGGACTCGGGGAAAGGGACCCTGGGGACTGCGATCCTCGCACCTGCAGCCTTTGCAGAACCAGCTGCACTGTTGCTCTTACTGTTTGCTCTGCACAAAATGCCCCTACCCCACCCTCCTCACCTGGACTCAATCAGCGTGTCCATTCCTGGAAGTGCCCCTGCCTCTGCACCCATCCCCAGGCTGTGTTAGGGTGGGCTGTGCTGTCTCTGCCCCTCCCATCTCACCAGCCCTTCACAGGGCTGCTCCAGTAACCTCCCCCTGCTGGCTGGGAGACCCTAGGGCACTGTCTCCCTGGATCCCCAGGGCCTGGCGTGGTATCCGGTGTATAGCAGGAGGCCCAGTGAATGTCGGCAGGATCAGAGAGGGAGCCTGGTGATTTATGCGGAACAGATTTTAAGATTCAAAAAGGGAAGCATTGCATTTTCACAGCATGCTAACAAGCGATTGACGACTCCCTCTGAATTCTACTGCCCAAGCGATCTGCAGGATGGCCTGCAGCCTCCTTCCCTCCTTCCAGGCGCTTCCTCGCTACCTTGCCTTATTATTCTTTTTCTATGTGTGTTCTATTTCCTTTTCCTTCTTTTCTTCCCCATTTGCCACTCTCCTTTTTCACTTTTATCTAACCGTATTGGCTCAAAGAATATCTTAACATAGTGCATTTATCAAATACAAGTGAATGTCTACATTTTAAAAAATATATAAATTTAATGTCTCTTTATTTAAAAAAAAACCAAAAAACTAAATTGACTAGCATGTTCCATTCATGAGGTCATCCAGTGATCTTTGTAAGGTTTGGTGCCATGTGATACGAAAAAAATCCATCTCCTCCCTAGGCTCTCTGGAGGTTCTCTCTTGAAGGGGGTGAGTTTCATGAGGCCTCCAATGAGCTTATGTATCTTTGGGGGAAAGCCCTACGCGAGGCCTTAAGCTTTGCTGCACCTCAGTTTCCATATCTGTAAAATGGTTCCACCGGCCAATTCCACCCGGCCCACACATAGCATCCTTCAGCTGAGCCAGCCGAGCCTTCTGAAATCTGAGTCAGACCCCACTTTTTTTTTTTAAATTTCCACTCTCCTCTTACCCATTTCGGTAACTCTTAATATAAAATTTACTCAACCAACATGTACTGAACCCCTTCTGGTACCAGGCCCTGGGGATTCGGGGATGAATATGATACAGCGCTGGACCTCAAGCACAAGAGCTAGATGGACTTAGTCCGCGGACCATTGGTGTTCCGTGAGGTCTGAAAGGTTGGCGACCGCTGGACTAGAACACAGTCAAGTAGACACAGGGTGATGGGTCCATGGGCAGGGAAGCTCAGGAGCCAAGAACGGGGAAGGGAGTGGACGCTTGACCTTGTCCCGGGGTTGGGTGGTGATGGGTCGTTAGAAACAGCGTCCTGGAGTGTCGCGCACCAACCAGAGGGCTGCTCTTTTACAACTTTCATAAACGTGTTCTTACTGTAGCCCAGGCTCTGCACAGGGAACTTAGAAATATAGTTATGACTGCAGTGCGAAGGTGGGCAAAGATTCCTCCCGCCTCGATTGCCACCCCTCATTCCCCTCAGTTCCTTCTCCTCCCCAGACCTCAGTTTTCTTGTGTCTCATGGAAGCCCTGGCTCCCCCAGTCCCACTGTTATCTGTCAGAGACAGCCTCTGAGGATGCTGGCTGCGGAGCGGCCTGTGAGCTCATTAGCGCTGTGGGCCTCATCAGCTGCCATCCACGGAGCCAAACTGTGAAGATAACACTTCCATCCACAGATGAAGTGAGAGTGTGACGGACAAGTGTGAACTGCAGCCCATTCGTGCTGATGCCAGGACTCCCCGGGGTTGCTGGGGAAGCAGGTCTAAGTGCAAGTTCCAAGCAGCAGGAGCTGTGGCCAGACCCTCACCCTCCATGCAGGACCGAAGGCTTCTCCCAACCCCACTCAGCCCCGGGCTGGGGTCAGGGTCCCTGGGACACCCGGGTGTGGGCACCAGACAGTTAGAGGAAGGAGGCGTTGTCATGGAGGACCCTCCCCAGGCCTTCCCGAGGCGTGCTCTCCAGGTGGGACCGAGCTGAGGAATTGGGGACAAATGTAAACCCACGCCCTGCCCTCTCCGCCACTTGCTTTTTGTCCCCATAAACTACTCTCCCAGGGAGCAACGAGAGCTGAAGACCATTTCCCTTGGCAACCTGGGTGCGCGGCCACTCAAGCTCCCAGAGTTGAGCCCATGGGGCTGCTGCCTCCTGCGCCTCCTCCAGAGCTAGGGGTTCCAAGCCGGGCCATGGCGGAGGACAAGGGCGCCCCAGCCCGGCCTCCTCATCGTTTCCATTCATCCGGCATCTGAGCATCACCACGCCCGCAGCGAAGCCTAGAGATGAGCCCATTCCTGGATGTGAACGCGAAGATGGGAGGTTGGGAGGGGGGAGGCGGCGATTTGCGGGGCCACCCAGAAGGGCCCGAGGAGAATGGAGCATTTTCAGGGCGCGCCCCTCGGAACGGGATATTGAGCAGACGCGTGGGCCCCAGAACACGGAGGCTGCAGGGCTCCATTTCCATTCATCCGGCATCTGAGCATCACCACGCTCACCCGCAGCGAAGCCTAGAGATGAGCGCATTCCTGGATGTGAACGCGAAGTTGGGGGGTCGGGAGGGGGGAGGCGGCGATTTGCGGGGTCACC